GTAGTGTTTAATAAAAAGCCTCTTAATAGAGTCTCTGCACATTACACCTAAGTCTCTTGTGTTTTGTTTTGTGGGATTTTAACTGCTGCCAAGTTAAACATGATAGTAAAACTGCATGTGCTTTGTAGCAGACATAGCACAGGGAAGCTGGGGTATTGTCATCCTTATCAGAAAATAGGATCATAACACCAGGAAGTCGACTAGGACACTGCATTCATGGCTGCAGCTGAGAAAAAAAATGTAACAGAGCCATAGCCTCAGCGGGGATTAGACAGACAGACAGATAGAAATAAAAAAATTCTAAACACTGAAGAAACTTCACGTTTGAAAGGAAGTGAGAACACTAAATAAAAAATCTCAACCTATCAGACACTAAATCATCAACAGATTTTTCTGACTTTCCAGAGTCAGACTTAGACGAGAAGGAAATTAATTCCCCTCTGTCAAGTAAAAAGGATCACCATCAAAGTGCTGGCATCACGTGTGTAACAAAGTTAAACACTAAATGAAATAAAGATTATCCTTCTAAAAAAAAAAACCAGGGCTTAGGAGAAGCATTCGAGATCCTTCCCCTGCCAGAAGCTGACGGTCAGACAACAGCACTAACATCAGTGTCACCCCATGTTTCCCATGGATTTTTCTTGCCACATCAGATGTAGAGCTCAACTCTTCCCACTGTAAAAATCTGTCTAACGTGATTCTTTTCAACCCTAATATGGCCTCCCCTCAAATCCCTTTTCACTTCATACCACAGCTTTGCCAATTTTCATGTCAACATTTAGGATTCCACGACAAAGATTTCGCAAACACTAGATCATGTTTGTACAAGCGCACAATATTTTGTACAATGGACCCATGTGCAAATAGAGAAAATAAGATGTTGTAAGCACCCTGAATTAAACATGAATATAAACACTCCAGAATTGATTATTTAAGCCCTAATGAAGGATTTGTAGACCTATAAAAAATAGCCAAGAATTCCAGCAATGTTTTTTTTCCATTTCTGGACGTTTCCTTTTATTGAGAGTAGTGATACTGTGTAAAGCAAATGTCCAGCTGTCCCTGGCGTATATGTGGCTCTGCACCATGAGATGTATATGCCTATTGAAGGATATTCTGTGTCTCAATAAAACAGGCTTCAAAGCAAATGACAGACAATAATATTAATGGCTGCAGATCAAGAAAACCTGAGACGTATGTGCTTAAGAAGACACGTCTTCACTTTGACATCTATGAAAACCTGATTATCCTTGAGTTGAGTCTGCTCTAGACTGATCCAAAGCCTTTACACTCCTCCCTGAGAGAAGGGAACATGTCATCCTTGGGAAACAACTCTTCAGAGACACAAGGGTATCCTCCTCCACCCAGTTTAGAGTTCCCACCATTTAAACTTCCAATGTATGAAGTCTCAGCCTTATCCCTGAACCCTGCTCTGTGACTAAAGAGAGAAAAAAAGATTATACGTCTACATAACCTCAAAATTTCAGCCAAATGTTACGCACCCACAGTACACCCACAAATTATATCACAGAGGGCCTGGACTTGAACTTCTAAGACAATAAATTATTACCACCAGTAACCACAGGTGTCACCGTGTCACCCAAGATTTGAAATTATAATTTGTTACTGTATTTTGAATGTTACTACTATGTGACACAAGGAAAACTCAGTAAAGCTCAGAGCCTGAGGCTTCCTACAAACATACCTCCATATCAACACAACACCTGCTGTACAAGGAGAAACCCAGAGAGAACTCATGACCTTCACCAACTGTTAATGTCCATGCACATTTTCAGTATGACCCTTTTTGTCAGTGCACATGCCCCTAGCATTGTTTAATGGTTGGAGCCCCACCAGCTCAGAGCCTACAATAAATCACCAGGTCTCTCCTGTGGGTGTTGCAGAACAGCAGGGGTTTACCGATAGAGACCCCTGGCAGGGGCTGACTCATTTCCTAAATGCCACACCGGTGTCATTACAGGTGCTTCTCAGCTGTGGTTATTTGGTACCACAACAGCTGTCCAGAAAACTAGTGCTCTTGTGGTTTCCATCCACTAAGTGTGCAAATGTAAACACACAATAAGAGAAACTCTGATGTGCCGGAGCAAGTAAGGCAGCCAACAAATCACTAATGTTTATTTTATGAATCAAAAGTGAAATAATATGTAGTCACAATGAGTATTAAGACACTTCAACTGTTTACAGCTGAATATACAATTGATGATACTGATGGATGTTGATAGCAAGCATTTAAATGAACAATCACTAATATTTTAACTGGATCACAACTATTTGTTTACTGTATTTCAAAGCACCTGCAGTGCTCCTCATTTCTACAAAGTGTTCCAGCATCTTTACATTCATTGCTTTAGGTTTTCCACCTTCAGGCTCAACACATTGAACTGCTCTGAACTTGTGATTCTCTGCTAACAATTCTGTTTACACTGCACCCAAGTGTCCAAATAATTTAAGACATGCATATGCCTGGTCATGACCCGGCTTGTAGGCCATGACAAGAAGGGGAACGGAAGCTGAATGATCAGCTTTTCACAGCACTAAACCATCCAAACTCCAATAATTAATCCACACTATTGATCACAATGACAACTTTGCACTACAGACATTTGTAGCTTCTTCTGATTTTACAACCCATGAACACCACTAATGAAGTTCTCAGTGAAGAACTTCACTATATACTACCTCAGCAGCACCAAACTTTAGTCAGCTGATAAATAAGTCATATCTAGTTGCTACAGTAAAATATTTTCTAAGGGGTTGGTGGAAAGCAAATTCCAGCTATAGAGTGCATATTACACTAATTAGATGACCAGACATATGGCTCCAAATGAATGATGCTGCTTCTCCCTGATCTATGGATGTGTAAATAAATCCTCTGCAATGTTAAGAAGAAACAGTTTAGACTTAGACTGAAATCTGTGAAGACAATGAACTTGTTATAGCTGAGAATGAACAAGACAAACTTTGAGTTGGGACACAATGCAAGTTATTTGTTAGATTTTCAAAAACATATGGAAATCCTCTGGTTTGAACCAGTAACAGTTCCACAGCTGGGCTGTAAACCAGCTGTAGTTTCCAAAATGTGACACTGTGGGAAGAAAAAAGCGAGCACTAAGTGGTAATATGAGCTTATGAAATCGATTACAAGTCCAATCACAGTGCGATGCCAAAGCTCCAGCTGACTTCAAATTGATAGCACAAGGGGAAACCTTGCTGCGCACTGTTTGTGCAAATCCCAGCACTTTCTGCTGAGGCTGCTCTGAATCATGGCAGAAAACAGTTTCTGAAAGTCCCCCTCTGTAGGGCCAAGTGTTACCACAACCCTGGCTTAGAAGCAGCACAGACAAGTGATACTTTGTCATCCCTGCATGTAACCCTGTTTGTAATCCTAAGTTTCATCATACCCATTTAATTTGTCAAAGACAAATGTGCTGCAAAACTAAGAGTCAGTACATTTTAAACCTGTGCGACCATATTAAATGTTACTCTTTTGCACCGTCAGTTAGTTTGAACTACTTTTCATCTGCAGCACCCAGGCAAGCAACAGCAGACAATAGGAGACAACCTAGATAAAACTAAACAATGAAACACTAACTGCACACCAAGCAAAACTCGAAATCAGTGCTGATAAAAGTTAAGATTTCAGTCAACATACACCACAGAGAGGGCATGGCAGGCAAAGAGTCCATGAAGAAAAAAACAGTCTGAGTTTAAGCAGCAAATGACAGGTAACAGGTCTCAGGCTGGATGGTACCGCGACGCATGCTCAAATAGGCCGTGTTCAGGAAACAGCTGGACAGCACTCCATGCAGCAAGTGGCTTTCCAGGAAACAAAAGGTGGGCAGGTTATATAGACCGTGTAAAGAGGTGCAGGTAAACCTGAGGAGAGTGAGATAGTGAAAACCTGGAAGTCTCCTACAAAGTAAGAGCCTCCAGCAGGAAGCATGCATGGAACACAACAAACTCTGCAAAACTTGTACTTTTCCGTGCATATTTGTTAAAACACAATTTGGTGGACTTCACTGTTCAGCCTCCACCCAGGATCTTTCAGTCAGATTTCCTGGCTGCTGGCATGCAGCCCATAAACATCTCTGCTAGTTTGTGTTATGTCAGTTTCAATCCAATGAATGATGGTAGAATTCAGCCGTGACAGACCATGAGCTGACTGCAGTGCTAGATCAGCACTGGCTTCAGTGTGGATATTCTGTGCTGTGTCAGCTGTCATGTTTTTCCATGTTTTGCATGCTGCAGCAGCAGTTCCTCCCTCCACCCTGTTTTCCACAGTGTCCCTACATTTGAAATCAGAAAAAGAAAATACAACCTCTGAAGTCGAGGCTCATATGTGACAGTCTGTGTACTTCACGTCTGTTTTGAATTCATGACAATAGAAGATACTATTACTCCTACAAGGCCTCTAACCTAAACAGCAATGCACGTCATGTGAATATGACCCACGGAACTGTTCCAGCTGTAAATTTACCAGACCATTGTTGTCAAGGTAAAAATACAAGTATTACATTGCCAGATGTACCAGACTTTTGTCATTGTGGAATCAATAATAGAACAGTTAAGTTTATTGAACCATCACAGTTTCATTAGTTTTTAACCACAGAAACAGCTTGATTAGGTTCAGAGAAACACTGCTGGTTAAAAGAACCACTGTCATCGTGGTTACAGTAACAGGGTTAAAGTTGTGCAATAATCACAGAAAGCCCAATGTTTCTCACAGGAATCAAACACCAGTTTCCTGTGGGAAAGTCCTGGATTTTCTGACCCATCTATCCACCTCAGCTCCTTCTAAGATTATTCTGTATGTTAGGTCAACTTCCTCCTCTGTGTCATAATTAGCCTGCTACAGTGGCTAGAGGTCACCTAAATTTAACAGGCAGCTGCTTGTTGTGTGACCTTGCAGACACAAACAACATATGGAATCATTTTTTAACAGAACAGTCTCTTTTATTCATTTAACAGCACTTTTTATTTGTAACACTGAACATGAATTCATTCAACTTTAGCAACAGAAATGTGCAAATTCTGGGTGTGCTATACTAAACTTGTGAACCACAATGATGCTTTATCATCAAACCAAACTGTACAGATCTCTAGACATGTACAATCTAAAACTGAATTCCATGACAAGACTGATTTACACACGTACTGTAACACTGTTCACATACCTCCATCTGGTCTCTGCCTGTGTAGAGGTCAGGATAACTAATGACAGCTTGGTGTAATTTTTGGTTACAAGCAAGGGCCTGATCTGATGCTTCCACTCTCCTCGGGTAGTGATGTCATACATCCTCACACTGTAACAGAAATTAAACCAAGAGCCCCATTTCAGCCATCCCATACCCGTTTAAACAGAGAAGACTCAGAGCTTTAGCCTGGCCTTCCATATGGCTTACAAAGGCTAGTTATTAAAATGAAAGATGGTGTAACACTGAAACCCTTCCTCTGATGTACATCCTGCACTATATCACATACAGAACGTGTACTGAGGAGGGAAATCTTTACGAGCATGTTGCATAACGCACCTTTCTCCCCTATCATTCGCGAAAATGAGAATTCACACTGATATGCTTCACTTCATCACCCTGAGACAGCTGCAATGTAGTCGTGCAAGATATTTGTCTGTAATATAAAAGTATAGATAACAATGCTGGATGATGAGAAACAACAACAAAAGAGTTGCATGAACAAACTGTTCTGATGGTTTAGCTCACAACAAAACAGATTTGACCTTAGATGGCTTGTTAAAACTCTGCACCAAATTACTGAGACAACAGAAACAGCACACTATGATTCAGAGATCTGGACTCAGAAATAAGATTTTTACTTTTTGAGCTTGAAAAACAAAATGTAATCAATCCTCTCACAATCCCCAGTGTAAAGATCGCATGAGAGAAGCTGTCAAATTGTTCAGCCAAAACAAAAACAGACAGAAAGCAGGTTGACATGCTTTCAAAAACATTGACAATCACCATTCACTTGTAGCAATCTTGACAGTGTATATCCACATCTTGTTATTCGTAGTTAGAGACAAAGATGGACACATGTTCAGTATCACCCATCAGTACAGGTTTCAGTACATTTTGCTTTAAGATATTTGCTTTTGTGAGATACTGAGGAGTTTAACTTCTTCAGAACTCAGTAAACATCACTCTTTGTTTGAACGGTTTACTGCCATACAGTACTGTACGTAAAAGCTGTAATGAGGGTCACAGTTAATCAGTCATTGGCTATAAATGCTAACAAGCTAAAAAGGCTGGGAACCAGTTTTACCATAAAAGTCAGTCCATTTCACATACCTGTAATAAAAAAGTAACAATAGCAGAGTCAAACATTCAGATAAGAGCCCACCCTTGAAACACATACCATAAGCTTGATCTCCTGTCAAAATGTATCAGGATCCTCAGGCAGCAAGCATTCACCCTACTGAAGTGTCTTTGGTCGAGAAGCTGACCGCTCCGCTGGGTGACTGTACTTAGTGACTTGAGTTTCTGCAGAGAGGATGAAGAGAATTTCTCCTTCAGAGAATGAAGAAAAACAAAGAAATGTTTGGGTTTTTGGTGACCCCTTGGTCAGGCTTCACCTTATATGCAGGTCTCTAAAATTGGCATTATATTAACACAGTAAATAATAAATACACTATTGTTGGAAAAATAAATATTAAGGTCTTTAATTACACTACATCAAAACTGCCCACACAGTTGTCCCGTGGAGCCACAGGTTTGCAAAGCAGCCTTCAGTTTGAACTGAACGCCATATTATTGTTGCAGGTAAATGAAGCCAAATAAATAAATAACATACAGTCCTGATGAATAAATTGACTGTATGTGCAGCAAACTAAAGTGCCGTATTATGTTAGTCTCAATAAACACAATCCTGTGTTCTTAAAGTATTTAACAAAGTAAGGCTATGAACTTTCATCAGTGAAATAGGCTTTAAAACATGGTGTTGATTCAGCGGAGACTCCTGATGGACCTGCCGGGAATTTGTCGGGGGATCAAGGGTCGTTAGAGACTGGCACTTAATAGAACAGAGAGCGAGTGAGGGTGTGACTCCGACAGCTGCCCCACGTGGGTTTGTGAGGAGGTTGGCATCATCTTTGCCACTCTTACCAACTTGTTTCTCCCTCTGCTTATCACAAGTGAATTTTTAAAATCAAATAACATAGGAGTCCACTCACAGTGTTGGGGAATAACTAGGCACTGTACATGTAACCAGTTATTGTAATTAAATTTAAAAATAAATCTAATTGTAATCAGTTACATTTATAGTACTGAGAAAAAAAATATGCAGTTAGTTACTAATCACGTTGGTGACTACAAAGGGGTTTCATCTGAATATATTGTTTTTAGTAAAAAGCTTATACATTTATGTAACCATTTCTTTTTACCATGTAGCATACAGTACCTTCTTTTGGCATATTTCTAGACAATGCAGGTCATCAAAGCTGTTGGAACAAATAACACCATGAAGGGTAGGATGGCTACAAGGAGCTATAGGTTCCATTCATTTAGCAGCGTGCTTTACATTTTCAGTGCTGCAGTTGACTGGTTCTCTTGTTTGACTTTGCACCGCCTCTCCTCTCATCTGTCAATCAAATTTAAGCACACTGCTTTAAACAGTCTGGCTGTGACCAACCGACAGCGCCAAGGTGGGTGGTCATGTTGTCGGACAAGAAAGTGACTTAACAAAGTGACTAGTAATCTGCAATGTGTTACATTTCAGAACTAACCTTTCTAGCACTGTCACTGTTACCTACACTACCTCTCTTGTCCACTCACATGCTGCTTCTTCTCTTTGACCTTGACTCCTGGCCAACAGTCAAATAAAATCAGACAGGAGCATAGGAGGGAGGACTGCAATTGGACATAGTTGCACATGAAATAACGTATTGTCTTCCAGAGTTGTTTACATTCTAAGTGGAGATGGAAGTAGGGCACTGAAGCAGGGTGTCCCAGTTCCTCAAAGGCCTAACTGCACATCTGTACTGTGCAGCAGCCTGGTAATGCTCCTCTGCTCTGAGTAGTTGCTACATCTGGGACTGAAAGCACAAATGTGCATGAGTATGTACACAGAGCTTTCAAAGTTGGAATTCTCCCTTAAAACATATTCATTTCATAATATTGCAGCTGTTGCTCTTTCACTTGGACTGTCAACACCGTGGTTTAAAGGTGGAAGTGACTGTGGCCAGTAAGCAAAGTGTCAGTTCTGGCTGGACCCCCAGAATTTGCATACATACTCAGTACATCTGTTTAACACTAAATGACCCAGCAGAAGTGTAATTTATCATCTCCATCATGCTAGTGGTGCATGTTTCCTTGTCATAGTGCTCCAGTGCGGTGGGACAGTGTGAGTGTCACCCGGAAGACAACAGACAGGACATATACTCCACTGGCTGTTGCAGTTAGTCCACCAAATATCTTAAGCCATTGGTTGAGTTGGTGCTGCAGATGGCTGCCTTGGTTCTGTACCAGAAACAAATTCCTTGTGTGTAACATACTTGGCCAAAAAAGGTGATTATCCTGATAATATTTTGACCTCATGAAGGCACTAATGAGAATGAAAAGGAGTCACTTGTGAGTTTTCTCATTTACTTAACAGTAACAATTATACACAACCAAAAAACAATGTGGGGCTACACCAGACAATCAGGGAAGCTAGTATGGAGTTGTACCTAAAAGAGGCCATCGCTCCTGGTGCATTATCAACCTACACTGCTTTATTATAAAGTAGATTCCAGTCTGCTTGTCTATGACTAAGGAGGGAATTGTGATTTGCTTTTCAGTAAACATTCAAAAACAAACTGCATTATTTCTTAGCTAATATGTTTAAGCAGTCACTGTAAGTCTTAGTCCTCACTCACCATGAAGAGGGTAAAAATACAAATAGTTCATTTCACACTGCAAACTAAAAACAACATTTGATGGTTCCACAATTTATGTATTAAAGTTGTGCATATAAAATAAGCTTAACAAAACCAACACCAAACAGAGGGTTACCTTAGTTTCTGTCTTTCAGCTGTGCCCTTAACCAGGTTTGTCTTCTTCTCTTGATGTCAAACAGCTTTTAGGCCCATTACTGCCACTGTCTGGACAGAAGTGGAGATGCATAATTTTAGTAATAGTAGTCACACTAAATACTGGCATACAGTACACCACTATATTTATCATATTAAATGAACCAAGTTCATTCCTGTACCCCACATCCCCTGAACTCTTTTACAACATTTCTTTCAAATTGAAGGGTCAAGATGAATTTTCAAAGCCTTTTTATAGAGTCTGCCCCTTGTCTGGGTTCTAGTGCTAGACCACCTGCTACCTTCGCCTCTGCGTCTGTACATGCAGTCCATCCACTAGCTGTTGAAACCAAAGTGATGAACTAACCAACAGACAAACTCTTTGGATGTCTAGCTCTTGCTGTAAGATCCTGAGTGTGTGGTTAGACCTGTGCAGTATGTGAGATAGACCTGGCTGAATAAGGGTTTTGTACTTTCAGCAAAATGAATCAAATGTAATATATTTTAAGACATTTAAATGACTGATAACACATATTTAAACAGTTAAAATGAGTCAAATCCATTATCAATAGCTGATGAAACTGAACTTGTAGCAGTTGTGAAATTTCACAGATGTTCATCCTATTGAGGGATTTTTGGTGAAAATGCAGCTGCTGTGACCGTGAGATGTATGGGGCCACCGTCGAAGCAGCTTGAGCATTTTTGTCTCCTCTGGTTGCCAGTGAAGTCCCACAGCAGCAGGTGGGAGCCTGCCAGTATCAGCTCATGATTTCATGTGAAAGGAAGCAAGTTGTTCTAAAAGTTCTTAAGATCCAGTTTATGAAGTCCTTAAGAATCCCATGTAGAATCAAAGTGAGCTGATATATACATAACATCTGATACAACTGTCTCTCATCTTGTTATTTTTGACACTTCTTCAAATGGTCTGCAGGCCAAAACTGTCTCCTCCGGTGCTGACAAAAAGCTTCTGAGCTCTGAACTGATTCTAACTATTTCAAAACTTTCTGAGCTCATTTGTAATAAAATGACTTACTGATCATGGCAGAAGCATCAGTTTTCCATCTGCAGCTTCTGGGCATTTTGTAGTGATCAGCACCTGTAAATACAAGGTATTGTCTTTACTAAAATATCTCCAACACCTAGAGAGATGACACAGCAGAGGTTAAATATTACCACACCTCAAGCTTATTAAAGGTTAGATACCAATATTTGCCAATTAGTCAATGGGCCAGACCAGATACCATACAAGGTTGCAAAGCTTTTTTTGGTGCCATCTTATTTGTTACATCCATCCATCCATCCATTTTCTTCCGCTTATCCGGGGCCGGGTCGCGGGGGCAGCAGTCTAAGCAAAGATGCCCAGACCTCCCAAATGTAGTAATGTAATACATGACAACCTTTGCAAATGAGTAGCTGTTGTTTTTTTTTTTTGAAGGAAACGTATGTGCACCTATCGCCATCACATGTATTTACCCAGACAGTTCAAATATAACACTCAAACACCTCTACTGTTAACTGTTTTACAAATTGATATGTGTTCCCTAGGTGTGTATTTCATCCAGTATTCTTGCATTTATTCATGCTGTTTAACAGTTTCAATTATTTAGTTACAGTGGGGCAAATAAGTATTTGATACACCGCTGATTTTCCAAGTTTTCCCACTTACAAAGAATGGACAGATCTGTAATTTTCATCGTAGGTACACCTCAACTGTGAGAGACAGAATCTACAAAAAAAACCCGAAAGTCACATTGTTAGATTTTTAAATTTTATTAGTATTTGATCACCTACCAACCAGCAAGAATTCTGGCTCTCACAGACCTGTTAGTTTGTCTTTAAGAAGCCCTCCTATCCTCCACTCATTGCCTGTATTAATTGCACCTGTTTGAACTCGTTACCTGTATAAAAGACACCTGTCCACACACTCAATCTATCAGACTCCAACTTCTCCACTATGGGCAAGACCAAAGAGCTGTCTAAGGACACTAGGGACAAAATTGTAGACCTGCACAAGGCTGGGATGGGCTACAGGACAATAGGCAAACAGCTTGGTGAGAAGGCAACAACTGTTGGTGCAATTATTAGAAAATGGAAGAAATTCAAGATGACTGTCAATCTCCCTCGGACTGGGGCTCCATGCAAGATCTCGCCTCGTGGAGTATCAATGATCCTGAGAAAGGTGAGGGATCAGCCTAGAACTACACGGGAGGACCTGGTCAATGACCTGAAGAGAGCTACATGTCCAGGCCTGTCTGAAGTTTGCCAAAGACCATCTGGATGATCCAGAGGAGGCATGGGAGAAGGTATTTTGGTCAGATGAGACCAAAATAGAACGTTACCCTTCGGTGTAAAGGGGGAGTGAAATGTGAGCTGACAAGTGGGCATTTTGGACAACAACCTCCTTCCCTCAGTAAGCGCTTTGAAGATGGGTCGTGGCTGGGTCTTCCAGTATGTCAATGACACCAAACACACAGCCAGGGCAACTAAGGAGTGGCTCTGTAAGAAGCATTTCAAGGTCCTGGAGTGGCCTAGCTAGTCTCCAGACCTGAACCCAATAGAAAATCTATAGAGGGAGCTGAAACTCCGTATTGCCCAGCGACAGCCCCAAAACCTGAAAGATCTGGAGAAGACCTGTATGGAGGAGTGGGCCAAAATCCCTGCTGCAGTGTGTAAAACCTGGTCAAGAACTACAGGAAACATCTGACCTCTGTAATTGTAAACAAAGGTTTTGGTACCAAATATTAAGTTCTATTTTTCTATTGTGTCAAATACTTATTTCATGCAATAAAATGGAAATAAATTATTTAAAAATCTAACAATGTGATTGTTCTGGAATTTTTTTTGTATGTTCTGTCTCTCACAGTTGAGGTGTACCTACGATGAAAACTACAGATCTGTCCATTCTTTGTAAGTGGGAAAAGTTGAAGAATCGGCGGTGTATCAAATACTTATTTGCCTCACTGTATAAGAAGCCGACCCATATTAATATTAGTTTTTCTTATTTAGATTGAAGCTTGACATTGTCAATGTGGAATCTAAGCATCTGACAAATTATTTTCTGGCAGGACAAGGTCCAAGTATCAAGAAAGATGAAGAATATGTACAGTGTCTCATTGATCTCATGAAGAATAACTGGCTCAATCCTATGTCTCCTGATAAAACTGATCTGGCTAGTCTCTCCGCTTGCTCCACCTGGTATGACCAGGGATCTCTTGAGAGTTCTTGAGATAGGAGAAGAGGCTTACCAGGCATTCAAGCAAACACAAATAGATGAGGTCCCACAGTCTGTAAATTTCCGTGACAAGATCACTTAGCAAAACCTGAAGACATTCTCCAATGTCAGCATGACAACAGCCCATAGAAAGAAAGCACAGGATGTGGTTCTGAAGGCAGATAGAAACCTGTTCAGCCACATGATCCTGGTGGGCCCACTGCCATAGGCACAGGGAAATGCTGATGGGTCCTTATGCAAAACAAACAAGGCTTCACTTGCCAGGGAGCTTGAAAAAAATGCATCTCCGGCAGAAGACATCCTAATTCCATCTACATGCATCCCTGATGGGATGGGCCTGGATCAAAAAATGGATGGGAACAACAAAACCTTTTCACAGGTTGCAGAATTGGCCATGTGCCAGACCCTCAGTGAAGGGACACAGAGTGAGAGAATCTTGTTTTTAATGTCTACCATCAGACTTCAATCAAAGATGCTGAATGACCAAACCTGAGTACAGGCAACACTCTACAATACAAGAATCTTGCAGGAGGACAACATGTTCAGTAGTAGAGACAATCAACAAGGCCAGTCTCATCAGGTTTCTGGTAAAAGAGTAGAAACATCCACGATACAGAGATGCTGCATGGCAAAGTGTTGTACATGACCCGTGAGGAAACATGCTACCAGTCCGTGCAAATTCTCAGTCATCCAGGTCATAGTAAGCTGAAAAAGACGTAGAAAAAAAAAATCAACTGGACTTGGTTTTAGGTTAAAGACATTTCACCTCTCATCCAAGACGCTTCATCAGTTCTGTCCGATTGGTGGTGAGCAGGAGGTATTTATGGTGTTTCAGTCCATTGACGGACAACAATGTCCCCTAACAACTGAGTCGTTACAGTCCGGTATCAGTGAGCGTCATTACCTGTCTTTGAACTCTCACCCATGACTGTGGTGTGAATTAGGGTGGGAATGTCTGGGCAGAGATTTCAACACAGAGTTGTAGATGGATGACAAGTTGTCTTAGTCCACCACCCCCATTTAGCGAGGGGTGTTCTATTTGGACTCAAACCAGTGATTTTCTCTGGAGAGGATCTGGACTTCACTGTCCTCAAAAGAATGTCCTTTGTCCTTCAGGTGGAGGTGGACTGCTGACTCTCGTCCACTGGGGTTGGCTCTCCTGTGTTGGGCCATGCTTTTGTGCAGTGGCTGCTTAGATTCATCAATGTACAAGTTGTTAAACTCCTGACTACACTTAATTGCATACACCACATCACTCTGTTTGTGTCTGGGTGTTTTGTCTTTTGGGTGGACCAACCTCTGCCGCAGGGTGTTCTCAGCCTCATTAGACAGTCCAGACAGTGCTGCTTAGTCTCCTCTCTTTCTGCAGCACTATGCTGCAGGCATGGCTGAGCAGGCAGCATCCCTCATGGCCACACGGTTTCCTGCAGTTCTTGTAGGTAAATCACCCAGCAGGAGTCACTGGTAAAGTGGCCAGCTCCTAAATCCAACCATCTGAGGCAGAACCAATGGTTTAATGCAACAGCGTTCTGTGTCTGCTTTTTTACTTCATATCACCCACTGTATAAAAAAAAACAAGTGAAAATTAATGTACATACATGCAAAGATGCTCTAATTTATTAGGAAGGAAGAAAGATGTGCACAAAGGGGGAAACAAGCATTCTTAAATCTTTCTAAACTATTGCACAGTGAGGAACATACTGACATGTTTTGTGAACCTTAAATTTCCCAGAGGGCATGTCCAAAAATGGAGCCCAGTATAATCAGTTAATGACAGTAGAACTCTGGAGATTAGACGAGAACAGTTCCCACAGACAAATTACCCAGTTGTAATTCTAGATGTCTTTGTTTAAAGTTGTGTACCCAGTAAAAGATAAATGCATTTAAAGAGTATTTAAAGAAAAAAAAAAAGATATTTTGACAAACAACCCGAATCACTCGTGTCAAAAACCACTTAGTACCTCATAAAACTGTTCCTCACACTGCACTACAGAACAGCCTGGAGTCAGGATGTTCAGCTGTAACTGACTTCCACTATGTCAACTAGTAGGCCTGAAGTCACAGTATGTTCATGTATAAGCCTCTGTAAACTTGTAACTGCTATGTATTTATTGTAATGAGTAAATCAATTTTTAGTTTTAAAAAAGCATGGTTAACTCATTTTAAAGGAATAGTCCAACATTTTGGGAAACACTTTCTTGCTGTGCGTTAAATGCCACTTTCATGTTTATAGGCTAAATATGAAGCTAGGGAGAGGAGATTGTTAGCTTAGCCTAGCATAAGGACTTGAAACATGGAAAAATAGCTGGCTGTTTGCCCTTGTTTTCAGTCTTTGGTCTGAGCTAAGCCCACCAGCTGCTTGCCTTGGCTTAAGTGATAAGCGAATGTTAACAATCTTATCATCTAACTCACCACAAGAAAGTGAATAAGCGTATTTCCCAAAATTCCAAATTGTTGCTTTAAAAAGGAAAAATATGCTTTTATCAATAACGTGATACATGATGCAATGACTGCACTAAGGTGGACAATCAAGAACAAAAATTCTTAATAAAAATAAAGTAACCATGGGATAATATAGTGTATTAACTTATGACACCTGCTACTCCAGGGTGTTAGGCACTGAGGTATTTACATGTTACAGCTGTAAGTACAGAAGGAAACTATAGTATGCCGACCTCTCAATGAAGGTGCCAAAGAGCAGTCTGATGGTCTTCTGTATATTCTCAGTACACAGCCAACTCCACTGGTCCTTCATCAGCAGGCACAGGATGTTCAAAGCAACATCTGCCACAACTGTGTTTATGGTACACATAAAATACACCATGAAATAGAGGGACACGCTAAAACACATATAAACTCCAAACAAAACAGTCACTGGGTGGTGCAGAGTGACTACTAGGACGACTCAGCTAATGCTTAAACAAACTGTGGACATCTGCTGCACTCAAGTGGTGATGCTGTGTTACTGCTTCTCAAAGGCTGCAAAGAGACATTTCTGGAAGCGATTCTGCACTGATGTTTTGAATATAACTAACTATGACAAGACAGTTTTGTAAATCTCAACCTGTCCCATGAGTTTTCCCTGGTGTCTTCATGTCTTTGCCAGGCTGCTCACAGCTCTGCTTGGCTGTCTCCCTCCCATTCTGCCCTCCCAAAAGACTTTCGTGCTCTTTGACATAGCTTTCCAAGCCAGACAGTGACATGCCAGTTTGGAGAAAAAAAATCCAATTATTTATTTCTTCTTAGTGAAAAAATGCCAAAAGTCATGAGATCACACTTTTCATTGACTCTCTCAGCTAACCATCTGGTAGAAAGATTTTTCTAAACTTTGGACAGAGACAGGGAAACTTCTCCCCTTGTTTTCAAGCGTTACCATTAGCCAAGCTGGATGTGGGTGTGGTATCAGCCTTTTCATCTAATTCTTGGCAAGAAAGCAAGAGACTGTTTCTCCAAATGTTCAACTTTGCCTTTAAGATTGGATCATTTTCATTTTGATTGTGTTTGGTTTTCACTCATGTTATCAAAGAAGTGCTCACAGAATAGCTTTCTCACCTTATCAATTTTTGACTTGATAATGGGCTTTCTTCCAAAGTATGTGCACGCATCTGAGCTGAGAGCCAGGAACTCCTGCATGTCCTCACTGTTGGCTGTCTCAGGAATGCTGCTTAATTGCTAAAGAAAATCACTGAAATTACAGCACCATACAAATCATTAGCAATCATGCAGAGTGAAGATATGATCTGAATACCTACTATGATCTGAATACCTACTCTAAGGAACATATCCAGCTGGCTTTTATGGGCTTCAACCTTCTCATTGTCTGCATTGCCAAATGGGAGAACAGGGAACAACTTCTTTGGGCTTTTGACATCTCAAATGCATAACATTAACTGATAATGACTTATATGTATTGGTATACTCAAGGTCAATGGTCAGTTTAAGTAAAGGATACTTTCTCACACTTGACTCTTTTCTTGAATTTGGGGTTCCCCTCTAAAAGTTAAGGAACTCGCTGTATCTCCGGTTGACAGTTTGACAGGCAGCAGGTTGCAGAGTGGCGCCAGCGTAAACTATAACACTGAAAGTGGAGGGTAATACCTGATAATCTTTATTACATATTCAAATTTTAGTCAGACATAAAAGGAAGAAGGAGGTGGTGTTACCTTTACAGTGTAGAGGTGTAGGGATATGTGCCAGTGCCACACTGCTCCTTTGCACTAACATTACCAGAAATGTGCACATTCTGGATGTGCACAGGAGCAGCTGTATTGCTGGGAGGGTCAAAGTCGCAGGAACTTAGACCAAGTCTTCTTGGAGGACATGATGGAGGATTTCTCTTGAGCTATACCTGCTGGTCACAGGAAGTTCTCAGGCAGACTCCACCTTTGGCCCAAGATTGTTCAGAGGACCGAAGCACCTGAAGGCCCCATCATTAGAGCGATCACATTGCAGACGTTTGTTGGATGACCGCAGTAACAAAAGCCTCCTATACGGTCATCTTCTCAGCAAATGTCAGGATGACCATGCTGCTATCCATTTGTGTAAATTATATAATATATAAAAATTATATTATATACAGTATGTGTGTTATGTAAACTCTGTGGGTGGCTTACTGAAAGGGCCCAATAAGCAGATGCCCTGTAGCTCACTTGCAAATGATCCCAGAAATGAATCTGTCTATCTACAGTGCCTTGCGAAAGTATTCGGCCCCCTTGAACTTTGCGACCTTTTGCCACATTTCAGGCTTCAAACATAAAGATATAAAACTGTAATTTTTTGTGAAGAATCAACAACAAGTGGGACACAATCATGAAGTGGAACGAAATTTATTGGATATTTCAAACGTTTTTAACAAATAAAAAACTGAAAAATTGGGCGTGCAAAATTATTCAGCCCCTTTACTTTCAGTGCAGCAAACTCTCTCCAGAAGTTCAGTGAGGATCTCTGAATGATCCAATGTTGACCTAAATGACAAAGGATGATAAATAGAATCCACCTGTGTGTAATCAAGTCTCCGTATAAATGCACCTGCACTGTGATAGTCTCAGAGGT